GACTCACCTGGGCTCGTCGTTGCCCATTTCCGTTGACGCAAGCGGAATCCTCCGTGCGTGGGCGCGCGTCTTCGTCCGTGGGCGTGCGTCGTCGTCGGTCGTGGGTGGTGGGCTGTATTGGCGTCCGTGGGGGTGGGTTGCCGTTTTGTTCGTCTTCGCGTTTGCGTTTGCGTTGCGCTCGTGGGTGTTCGTTGTCATGCGTGGGTGTTCGTTGTCGTGTCGTGGGCGCTCGTGGGCAGTCGTTGTCGTGGGCGGGCAGTGGGGTCGTGTCGTCGTCTTCGTCTGCTGGGCGTCCGTTTTCGTTTGCGTGCGGTTGCGGCTCGTTTGGTTGTCGTGTCGTGGGCGTTCGGTGTCGTGTCTGGGCGCTCGTGGGCAGTGGGGGTCGTGTGGGGTGGTGTGCGTCGTTTGTGGGTGGGCGGGCTCGTCGGTTGTCGTGTCCGTCCGTCGTTTCGTTGCCACGTCGCTGACCGTGACGTGGCACCTGGTTTGTTGTCAAAAGGTGGACTGGGAGGGGTTACCCAGTCCACTTACCTGGGCTGCAGTCGAGGCGGAACGTCCATTGACGTTCCGCATGGTTGTCGTCGCCTCCCATCCGTGTGACGTGGCGTTGCCACGTCGTGTGGCTCTTGCAATGGCGGGGTCGTTGTTGACGACGTTGCGTGTCGTCGTGCACCGTCAGCGTGGTCGTCGTCGTCAGTGAGGTCGTCGTCGTGGTCGTGGTCGACGTCGATGTCGCGGGCGGTCGTCGTGGCTTGAAATGGTGGGGTGGATGGTGATGGTGATGGTGGAAGGAAGAAACGACGTGGCATTGGCAATGCGTCGTGTCACGTTTGAGACGCCACATGACAAAAGGCGGTATATACATACCTTTACTTTAGCATATAATAATGCCTTTGTGGCTCAGTTGGTTTGAGCACTGTTAATATTGACAAGGTCAAGAGTTCAATTCCTGTAGATGTAAAATTTCTATTTTTACTTAAATATAGTAAGGACACTATAAATACTGTATTCTAATGGTATAATGGTCATCCATGGAATCCATGTGGACTGCTCCATGGAATCCAAGGTGGATATGCCTGCATTCCATGTGGAATCCAATGGAATCCATATGGAGTGGTGTTGGAGTCCATATGGAATTAATCATTCCATGACCATTCCATGGTCATTCCATATGGAATCCATGAGGTCTATGGAATAAGGAAATGGCTGGGTCCTCAGCAAACATTGATTCCATGGATTCCATATGGAATTATCCATGGATTCCATGGATTCCACATGGATTCCATACGGAATAACCCGGGGAAGGTAAAGACCTCAGGTTGACTGCTGACCCGTTGAACAAGGTTCTTTGATGGTCCCCCCATTGGTACCTATGTAATGTGTAGCATAGAAATTGAGAGCAGGCATATGTTACATACTTTGAAGGAGGGGCTGAAATTTTCTTTATCAATTGGAACACAATGAGTCAGCAGGCGACCATCACACACAGATGTTTTGATGATCAGCTGAAGAGTGACTGATGTGAACTAGATTGAATAATTTAGTACGAGAAAAAGATAACACTGCAGAAAGAAATTGACCCCTTGACCATGCGCGGCAGGCTGGTTTTCGTCATCCTCGGACTCTGGTTCCAAGCCATCAGCATTGGCAGCTGCTGAAGGAGGTGCTGGAGCTTGTATCAGGATTGCCTGATAGCCCATGATTGCTTCCTGTGCTTGATGAGCACAGAGGGCTTGAGTGTATGCCTTGTCTTTGGCTGATGCCTGCTTGAGAGCCTTGTTGGTATCTGAACAAATGTTGAACCCAATGATTAATAATATATACAAGAAGTTTTACTTACCCAGCTGTTGTTGCTTCGATGATAGAGTGCGAGCACGTCCAGAAGAAGTTGATTCAACCACAACAGGGGGGGCTGAAGTGGTTTTCAGAGTGGACGTGCATAGACAAGGAGGCATATTGAGTAAAAAAACTGTGATGAAAGAGAGTAGAAGGGGAAAGAGCATGCTAATTTTTAGAAGATGAGGCAAGACAACATGGTGGTTTGAGTTTAAATAGGAGCGGGAGGTGGCAGTGTAGACTTTTCAACATCAACAAAGATGTGATTTCAGCAATGCGTCAGTAACGTGATTGGTAGCAATGTGTAACAGGGCAGAGGGTAACGGGGGCGGAGAGTCAATGTGTGAGACACCTAAGGATCAGCGTTAGCTCCAATTTTAATCTGTCCATCAAGAGCACGTACTGCAAACATGCCTCCCCGCCAAACCCACTTGAGAAAGACGACAAGGGTCCATGAGGATCCGCCTGAGCCAATTATCACTTTCTGTGGATTTTGTCAAAAGGGCCCCTTTCCAAGTCTCGCAGGGCTAAAAAGGCACATTAACAATACACCAAACTGTCATCATGCACGTCAAGCCGAGTTTGGCCAGTATGCCGCGAGCATTTGGGATGACATACCTGCACCACCAGCTGGAGAACAAGTCGCAGAATCTTCTGGGACAAATAATGAAGGCGCTCCCACCCCAGCTGAACATCCTGTTGAAGACGAGCCAGAAGTTGTTTTCCAGCTGGACCAAGACCTCGACAACATGGATGACTTTGTTCTTGAACCACCAGAACCTCATGTTCCGGATGCACTGCCAAGAAGGTCAGAACGAGTGACAGTTGAGGAAGTTCCAGATGAAGATAACCCACTCCACGACAATGTCCGCTATGTCGAAGACTTTCCCAAGGCTGCAAAAGCAGGCGCTACATGGGGGTGAGGCACTACAATGTTTGAGAGAATACGCCGGGAGCAAGAGACAGAGGGTGATCCGATATGGGGACCATTCGCGGATGAAGCTGAATGGCAGTTAGCGCAGTGGTTACTGCAAAATGTGGGGCAAAAGCAGGTGGATGCTTACCTGAAGCTTCCTATTGTACGTTTTTTGTGTGAACATTTACGTTGATCTCTGATGGAGTCTGTGTAATAGATGTGTGATCGAATGCAGCCATCTTACAAGAATAACCGAGATTTCTTGAAGAAGCTTGATGCATTGCCCACTCGCAGGGATCTGTGGACATGTGAGATCATTACTGCACCAGGAAACTGCATCAATGATGATGGGAAGCCAATGCCTGCTGAGAAACTCGAGCTTTGGCATCAAAATCCTGTTGAAGTCGTGAAGGACTTAATGAGCAATGAGAGTCTCTGAGAGGCTCTACACTATGCACCTGAACAAGTTTTCAAAGATAAGGAGGGGACTAACCAGGTGTTTGATGAGACGTGGACAGCTGAGTGGTGGTGAGAAATTCAGGTATTTCAGTCCATCACAATGAGCTGTCATTCACATGTTGAACATTTTCCAGAAAATGTTACCTGTTGGATCGACAGTCGCAGCGCTCATTATATCAACTGATAAAATTAGTGTTTGAAAGTCCGGTTCGGTCCAGTTTTTTGATGCCCATGGGCGTTAACCGTAACTGTAACCGGTCTGCCTTTTCCCCAGAAGTCAAAAGACCAGACCGGACCGCAAAAAGACCGCAGACCGCGGTTTTTTGCGGTCTATAGACCGGTTTCGGTCTGCATCAGTTTTAACCGGTTTATGACCGGTCTTTAGGCCAATATTTTAAAATTATGAATCGGTAGATTTATTAACATCTCTAATAGCTTCAAAACGAGCCCAATAACGTTAAATTCCGTTAGGAATTGGTGCTTCTATAAAATAAGTCTGGTACATCTATTATTCCCAAAAGTAATTTACATTTTAATTCATATCTCTCTCGTTTTTTTACCAAATCGTACGTTCTTGGGTGCGTTTTAAAGGGTATTTAAGGGGCTACAAAAGACCGGTCCAAACCGGTCAAGACCGGTTCACGTTAACCGGTTTTTTTGCGGTCTTTACATTTCAAAAATAAAAGACCGTAACCGCAGGTCCGGTCTTTTGCGGTCTTGGTCCGGTCTGGTTACGGTCTTTTTCCAGTCATAAGACCGGACTTCCAAACACTAGATAAAATGCACCTGACCAATTTTCGAGGGGACAAGAAGGCATGGCTGGTCTATCTTACCATTGGGAATATCGATAAGGAAAAGTGGCGCAAGCCTAGTGCACATGCGACTGTTCTGATTGGGTACCTACCCATCACCAAATTGGATAATTATACAGAGGCTGCCCGCTCTCAGGAGGATTATCGGTTGTTTCATTACTGCATGAAGAATATTTTAGCACTGCTTATTGATGCTGGGAATAACGGAGTATACGTTACCTGCACAGATGGTTTTGTCTGCCATGTCTACCCACTCCTGGCTGTGTATGTTGCCGATTTCCCTGAACAGTGCCTGGTGGCAGCTTGTAAAGAGAGCTACTGCCCGAGATGTTGGGTGTTACCTGGAGAAAGGGGGATGTTTGTGGAATCATTGTTACGCGACAAAGAAAGGACAAAGGTCATACTTTCTCACAAGAAGTCTGGTCGGCGGGTTCCTGAATTTAATGATGAAGGGATTCATCCAGTCTGGGAACCATTCTGGGTGGATCTCCCTCATACCGATATCTTCTCCTGCTTTACGCCAGACCTACTCCATCAGCTTCACAAAGGGATGTTCCATGACCACCTCGTGAAATGGTGCACTGAGATAGTGGGGGAAGCTGAACTGGATGACCGATATCAGAGCAAGCCAGGGTACCCAGGGCTTTGGCACTTCAAGAATAGGATATCGAATGTTTCGCAATGGACTGGCACCAAGCACAAGGAGATGCAGCATGTGTTCGTGGGCCTTCTTGTTGGCGCCATTCAGCCACATGTTTTACAAACTGCAAGGGCCGTGATTGATTTCATCTACTATGCTTGGTTACAGGTACACACCTCGGAAACCTTGAACGTGCTCCAAGATGTGTTGAAGACCTTTCATGACAACAAAGAAATTTTAATACGAGAAGGTGTTCGAGAGCATTTCAACATACCAAAACTTCATCAGATGATGCACTACCTTGCCTCCATCAAGTCACGTGGATCTGCCGGCAGATACAATATGGAGTGGTCAGAAAGGCTTCACATTGACTTTGCGAAGGAGGGTTATTGGGCAAGTAATAAGCGTGACTTCATACAACAGATGGCGACATGGTTGGGTAGGTGGGAAGCAACAGCACGTTTTGGACAGTATCTCGATTGGCTGTTGCAATGCGAAAGCCAGGAAGAGCTGGACAGTGAGGACCTCAATGACAATGATGTGGATGAAAGTGGTCATGAGAAAGTTGGCCATGGCAGTGCCAGCCACACTGATGTAGTCGATGACAATGACGACAAAGTCTCATCCCACTCTGGTTTACCTGCCACCCATCTCCTTGCGGTCAACCCTGGCTTTCGTCAGGTGAAGCTCAAGGACATCGTCACCCAATTCCACGCCAGACTTCCTTACTTCGGTCACTAGATTTATCCGACGCGCACATCCACCTCCTGAACAGCCAACCCTTCCAAACACAACTGACATGTTCGACATCTACAAACAGCTTTCAATTCATTTAAAGGACCTTGCTGCTGTTGGATGTGTTGGCACCTTGCAACAGATCCGTGCAATGCCACTTACTCTGGGGCGGAAACACGACTCACCTGAAAACTTCGACACCGTTCTTGTCAGGAGTGAAAGTGAGAAGGGAAACCAGGCCACCAAGGGCACATGCTTAGAAGGTACGTCAATCACCTATTACATGCTAAGACTTTATCTTATTCATACCTATCTACCCACAGGACTTCGGGTAGCACAGATGCGAGTAATTTTTACTCTCCCAGATCACTTGCGTCGTGACCACTCCCTTCCACAATACCTTGCCTATATTGAATGGTTCAACCTGCTGCGATCCCCCAATCCTGACTCAGGCCTCCACTTTGTTACTCGCTCTTCCCACCACAATCAGCCCATTTCTGAGGTTGTGCCCCTTTGTGACGTCGTCTTAGGCTGCCATCTCATTCCAAAATTCGGCACCAAGTTCTCTCCTGCCAAGTGGAATCACCTCGAAATCCTCGACAATTGGAAAACCTTTTCTCTCAACAAATATATTGATCTAGCTATGTTTTACGAGCACCAAGTCTTTCACTAACCGAGGATGTCATTTGACTTCGACCATTCCATGTTGATGACATCATTGAGACTTTTGGTACTATACCCGACTTCAGATTGACCTCTCTGTGATGATGTATATTATTGTAGCCTATATATCTTTCCATGCTCTAAATCCAACTAAATGTACCTACCATACCCTACAGAGGTTAGCGGCGACCTACAATGACCTATGAGAGCTACATAGTCTACGTAAATAAGGCCAATCTATCACGTCAGACTGTTTTCCTGATGAAGAAGATGAGAGTTGGAAGGCCACCCATTTGCCACTGATGATAATACTGATACCCCACAATGTGGAGGCATCAACATACAACCCGAGGTCTGATAAAGGGTCAAGAGGGCGAAGAGACCAATATACCCCTGTCAAAGTGAGCTTCACTAACCACCACTTCAAGTCAGTGATTAGTGAGTGCAGGGAATACTTCGTAAGGAACTCGTCACCATGGAAGGTAGATGCAAAGTTAGAAAGGGATGGGAGATGGGAACGACCATCAAGGTAAACGAAGGTGATGTGACAAAGAGAGCCATGAATCTTTTCAACATTGCATAAGTGGCAAGGTCGACCTTCAAAGTCAATGAGAAATTGGAGAACACACTGATGGAATTTGTTTCTCTTTCCCTCCAGAAGGCTAACACGCTTCTGAGGAATGTCCCAAAGAAACCCAATGAAGGTTGTCACGAAGGAAAACCGTTCATCTCCCTTCTTGTCATGCCAAGGTACTCCCAGGGAAGAAATGTGGCGAAGCATCTCATCCTGATCATAGTCATAGTGAAAGTCACCATCAACGAAAGGACCAGATGGTGAAGGGAATCAGAAAGCCTTCAAATCATCCTCGTACTTCAGCACTGGGAAGACCCCTTCTGCTCGCCAGATGTCGACAATGGCATTTGCAATCATACCAGCATTGCTGCTGGCACATGCGGCCTCAAAGGGGTGAGTGTGATTGATGAAGAAATCATCAAAAGGTCCTTGGATGATGAGCCAAGGCTTGTGGGAAGGAAGAACCGGACAGGTGCAATGGAACTTTTTAATATCAAAAGTGCACGCCTATGTTCCAGGAGGTGCATGAGAGATCTGTACAGGAATCAAAGACATGAGTGAGATACACAGGAGGTGAGGAATAGATCAAACAAGAAGATGAGAGAGAAGGCATGTGCATGATATGGTATGAAAGATAAATGCCGATGACAACTCCAAAGATAATACAGAAAACATTATCACACCCAACGTGAGCGAGAGGATCATCACACTGGACGCATGAAAGAGGGTCATCACACTCAATGTGTGGGAGAGGAGTCATCACGCTCAACGCGTGGGAGATGATAATCATCATGTCAGAGACACAGAACAGGAAAGATGATATGAGAGGACAGGTAACTTGCACAGAGCAAAAATACCCAAAGAGCGACTGGACGAGAGGCCAGTGCTAATAAAGAAGACATCTCCATGCATGAAACACAAAGGAGATGTGTAACGGAAAGGAAGAAAGGTGGGGGAAAGAATGGAAAGAAAGGTTGCTCACAATATCCGCAACTTTAGATGTGGTGTCGAAACACGTAGGAAATTCATCCTTATGGATGTATGAGTTGACTGACACATGATGTTTGGAAGCCTTGGAAAGGTGTTGACAAACTCTAAGCTTGTCAGGCACCCCAGGTTCTTGCAGTTGAACAGAAACAATAAGGGATGATGATTGGAATGGGCCATGCAGAATCCGCTCTACCCCTTCCTGAGAAAAGGGGCCAGAAAGCCTGCTGGACTTGACTTCTTTAGTGAGGTAGTCAGAGACGGTGTCAGGGTAAGAGAGGATGGAGGGGTTATTAGGCATGATGATGGTTTGGGGAAGTGGAGGCATGTGCCCAATGGGAAAGCTGAAGCGCAGATTGAAGGGAAGTAGAGGATAACTGTGGAAAAGGTTGTGTTTGTGCAATAAGAAATCGAAGGCATCAGGATTGTATGGGTGCAGGATTCTGTGAAAAAGCAAAGACTTGTCTGAAGAGGTGCTGGGCAAAGAGGGGCAAGGAATGATGGAAGCTGAGAAATCAGAGTAAGAAAGGGGAAGCGAAAGCGACACCTGAAGAAACACATCAGTTTGA